TAATATATCTGTGAATTATGTGAAACTCCTTTAGTAATTTTCTTTCCAATTTGTGAGTTCATTCTTGAAACTCATTTATCACCAGTTATTTTAAGTCTTTTGTGGGAATTCTTGGTTTCTAATTTCGACACTTATGGAAAACACGTGTTATTAGTAATTTTTGTTAGATTGTCAGGTACCTGGATTGGGCTCAAAGTTGAGATCACGTCAAGGTTTAGGTTAGGCTTATAACACAGGGGTCTACAAACTTCGGTTTATCTGGCTTGCCTACAGTTTATTAAAGTAATAATATAATCTGTTAATATTATAAAATAAAATGTAATTGAGCAAAAGCCAATCTGATCATGTATGCTTCTCTACTTAATTTTACCACAACCCCTCCGGCCCACGAAGCTTAAAAAGATGCACCTCCCGGCCCTTGTCTAAAAAGGTTTGGAGACCTCTGAAATAGCATGCTGAAGTTCCAGAAACATGTTTCGAGAATTTTACATTTTGTAAACTTGTTTCTATTCTATGAACATTTATAAGCAATATATACTGATGACTTTAAACTGGAATTTCAATCTCTTTTCTAATAATTTTTTTTAAATGCCCATAACTCAATGTATCAGCAAAACATAAATGAATGTACCTACAGCACCACTGACAGTTTAGCTTTTTCTTTCCAGGCAGAAAAGGTAGAAGAAATAAGGAGAGAGAGTATGGAAAACAGTAATCAATACGAAGGCATATCTGATGCCAAATATGACAGTGACGTTAATGATAAAAAATAGTTACGTCCTGAAGAAGAAATTTTTGTACTGCACACATTCAATATTATGGTATTTGATAAATATTCACTCATACTGAAAACATAAAAAGAAACTGCCATAGAGAAATTTATAAGATCCACCTTGCAACCCTAATAACTTGTCCTGAGGAGGACAGATCTTGCATGTTCCCTACTATGACAGTTTCTAGACTTCTGTTGATATGGTGTAGAAAGGTATATGAACTAATTGGTTTTCTGTGCACTGGTTATTATTTATTACAAGTTGTGGATTCTTGGGTGTTCAAAATGTGAATATCACTCTACCTTCACTGACATACATTGGTTTTAGAGAAGCAGATGTTCCACAGTACAGATCATAATAAAGCTCTAATAGCCAATGATACTCTACTAGTTCTGAATGACAGAAGTGGAGAAAGAATGAAAATAATAACTGTTCCTGAGAGACACAAGGTTTTTGTATACTATCAAAACTTGTTTTTGAATGAAAGTGAACATGCAAGTAAAGATTTGAAGTCAGACGCTCATGCCCCACATCTGAAAAAATGTGTGACTGGTGGGTTTTTTATGGCAACTGCACCAGACATTGCTGAGAAATGTATTTATTTTGAGCTAAATAATGAATCTTATATTTGCACCTTTCCTAATAGATATGAAAAGAACTGATGTCACAAAGAATTATATAACATACTATATTTACCACTTTTATTTGCACATCTACGTTTGTTAGTTTTGCACAAATATTTTGAATATCTCTTAATGTATCTGTATCTATTTATGAGCTTTATTTATATTAATGTCTTTTAATAAAAAATATTGTCAAACTTATAAATTATTTTATCAGTAAATAAAAAACATTGTTTTTATGTGTTCATATAATTTCTTTAGAAATTGTGTACATTTTTGATAGTTTATGATAATGGATACAGTTTACTGCTTACTTTATAGATATTTATTTCCAATAAAGTTTTAAAATGCCAATTGGTGATATTTTTTGATAATCTTCTCAAGTTTTTGAACATCCTTGATATACAGCAGTATAAAGAGGATGGTGATATTTTTTGATAATCTTCTCAAGTTTTTGAACATCCTTGATATACAGCAGTATAAAGAGGACAATGATGGCTACTAATGTTTTATATAGAATGATTAATCCACTATACACAAGCTTCATGAACAGAGATAATAAAATTACAATGTACAACATGATTTGATATAGTTAGCTGAACTTTTGTAAAATATTTTTCCACATTATAAAAGAAAAACTAGAATATTGTAAAATAAAAGAAACATTTTTTTGATGTGAAAGACAATTTTTTTGCTTATTTATAACATATTTTATGACTTGAGAGACAGAAATATGAAAATTTAAAATGCAACCATTTCATCAACAAAAAGGTTTACAATAAACATACCAACATTTATGAAATAAAAATTAATGGCTACTTTTAAACTTAAATTATACTGCAACAAAGATCAAAATTACAGTTATAGCTCCTATTCATTGCTCATTGTTTTCCTGTGAAGTCTTGTTCATACAGGTAAGTGCACAGTGAATGTGACCAATAGGCATCAAATCAGTTGATACAAATAGTAATTATTAGTTGGAATCAATGGGAATTTCCAGTAGTGAACAGAAGAATAAAAAATATGTTGTCTACAATATCTAGTGTGTACATTAAGTGACAAAATATGTTGGTGAAACCTATAAAGATATGCCTTAACTGCACACTCCAATGAAAATAACTACCAACTCGACTGGACCACTGTAAAGACCATTGACACCACCACAAAAAGAAGAATAAAAGAAACCACTGTGATGGAAACTAAACACTGTGGACCCCTACAAAACTAAATCAAAATCATAAGTAACTTTTAATTAAATGTGCCTTGATGAATATCACCTCAAAAAATGATACTAATGTTGGTTAAACTAAACCTATAATTTTAAGTTAAAAGCATTCATTCAATAGAATGGCCCGGCATGACCAGGTGATTAGGGTGCTCGACTCGCAATCTGAGGGTCGAGGGTTCAAATCCCTGGCACACCAAACATGCTCGCCCTTTCAGCCGTGGGGGCATTATAATGTAATGGTCAATCCCACTATTCGTTAGTAAAAGACTAGCCCAAGAGTTGGCAGTGTAAGACTAGCTGCCTTCCGTCTAGTCTTACACTGCTAAATTAGGGACGGCTAGCGCATATAGCCCTCACGTAGCTTTGCACAAAATCCATAACAAACAAACAATCATTCATAGTATTTACTTAAATAATTTTTGCAATAAATTATTTACTTTAATATATGTTTCTATATTGTACTTTCAAGTATAATTTTAAACTTTTTTTTTTTTCAACCAACAGATGACACATTTAATTTTTTTTGCTGCTAAGTTCCTTAAAAAAGTTTTCTAAGATTTGTTAAGAGCTAACCAATAATATTGTAGCATAAGAAATTAAGGATATAATTTTAATTTTTTACTTTACATTTTATTTGTTTTTATACATAAAGTAGCACAATTAGCTGTCTGTGCTGTGCTCACCATGGGTGTTGGAACCAAGCTTTTAGCATTACAAGTCTTCGGATTTATTGCTGAACCACTGGAGCTTTCACAATACAAGTCTAAAAACATACCTGTGTTTGCTTTTACCTTAGAAAGGACAGATAAAAATAAGTTTTACTATTATAATAACACTGTCTGTACAAACTCAGGAAATTTCAGATATAAAGTTTTTACAACACTGGAAGCCTACAATTTTTTAGGCAATATAAAATAATATAAATCTCTTAGGACCTAACCTAACAGATGCAAACTTACATAAATATATATAACACATATAAATAAGAAGCAAAAATTAAATATATTGTTACCAAATTGAGTTATTTCAATTTTCATGGCTCACAGAATAGTCACAAATGTAAATTTTTGATACACTTTGAAAATAGCATCTCTTCTTACAAAGTTTATGTTTATTTCCTGTTTGCAGTTTAAATTTTTGTGTAGTATTAATGATAGGATGGGTAGCCAACTAACCAAAATAGTTCACCTGTGGGGCTTTTTAGGCCAAATTTAATTGTTTCATATTATTGGTTGATGGTTACTCCTAAGAGATATGAAAGTTTATCACAATGTTCCAATGCAGGTTTTGGATTATATTACAGCTTATACAGGTCAGCACACTAGAAGTATTCTTCACCTTTCTACAGTTCCCATTGATAACATTATTCAGGTCAGATTGGAACTGGCTCTGCTACTTAAATACAGATGGTTTAATATTTACCCTGCTATGTTTTTCAAATATTTATTTGTTTAATAACAAATGTCATTTACAAAAATATCAACAAAATTACATATCAAAAGACAAAATAAGTCTGACTGCATGTATACAGATTCACACATTCTTTCATAAACAGAAAACACCTCATTAAGAGTAAAAAAAAAAAGTAAATTTTTGTGTTTTTTACCCTTAATATAGTAGCACAATGTGCTTGAAAAGAAACAATGATTTCAAGATATTTTTTAAAACAAAAATTTGTCCATCTCACCGTATGACAGACTGGCAGTAAAGTGGATACAATTCAAAAAGGAAAGTTTTTTTCCTTTATTCTGTAATTACTTGGAGATTCTATTAATTGTATGTTCCAAATGGAGATTTAAAAAAAAAAAGACATGTTTAAAATTGCTTCTACATTTCAAAAACATCACCCATACCACAGAAAAAGTACTTTATTTATTGGCCACTGGGATTATCAATAGATGGAGTGGGTAGTTTTCCTAAATCATGATCCTCATCAATTGAAAAAATGTCATTTTCTTTCACAGCAAATGCTTTTATTTATGATTTATACATTCATAAATAGAGAATGATAAAAAAATTAACTGCCAACAGACTTCATGGTAGATGTTAATAGGTCTTAAGTTTTTTTAAAAATTCATCTGCCAAATGGATCTCTTCTATCATTTAAATCAATGACTCAAATTACTCCACTTGGATGTAAATAGCCCCTCCTTTTTTGTTTTAAGTGCTCTTACCTATCATATTTTATGTCAAGCTAATGTTAAAGAGGTTCAATTACAATATCAATATAAACACTGAAATTACAGCAACAGTTTCTCAAAATAACTCAAATAACACATTGTAAGAAAACTGTTAAACCAGCATTGAATTAATGTCAAAACTGCACCTTCTGTTAGAATTGAAAGCTTGAAAAAAATCATACCTAACTAACTGAAATCAATAGCAAAACTATACTTTCAATTCATTTATTGCACAAATGAACACTACAATTTGAATATCATTGCATTTCAGATATCCTTAGGTTTTAAAAAAAAGAAATTATATAAATTTTGAAGAGTCAATCTGGTTCTGAAGATGAATAATTTCCACTGCTGGTATCACTGTCATTTCTATTTGAACCTGTTTTTGGACGTTTGAGAGAATGGGTTCTTTTGCATTTCTTTTTTAGCTTTTCCTGTTAAATTATATATTTGTTTAAATATTAAAAACATATTAATTATTATCAACTGTTACAAAAGACTGCATTAAAAATAATTTTAAACAGAGATATATACATCATTCCTTTCAGAAACATTTTGAATCTATCAACTTTTTGTACCATACAGTATTTTCCTTTTTCAAAAGGAAAAAGTCTAAAGATTTTACTACAATAAACATTTCAAATATCTTAAAACAATGATTAACATGAAATAAACAACAAAAGTAAATTCTAGTTTTAAGCCACTAAGTACTCTAATTTGCACTAGCTGTTGTCATGGCTTGAACGAACCAGGAATATTCAAAAACCTGAAATACTGTACCAAAAACATTTTTGAATATAGAATGTTCCTATAACCATTAAAATTTCCAAAGTTATAGCAATGTTGTCATTAGAAATAAAAAATCCAGTTCAAGGAATGTGCACTACTGAAAACACATTACTTACCAATAAAAAAACATAAGATATAGCCAGAGCTAGCTGTGTCCTTTATATATCATCCAGTTACACTTATTAATGTCAAAACTAAGTAACCAAACAGTACAGTATGTCTAACCATCAGTAATTCTCCATTATCCTGCACATGGGCTCTTTATTAACATATGTAAAATGACCCTTACAGGGAGTTATTTAACAGAAATGTAAATTATGGAAAATCTAGATATATAGTTGAAATGTTAACCTAAAAATATCTGTGTCCATTTGACTTGAAGTATCTTATAAAATTATTCTCTTAGGTATTTTTTTTACATAAAAAAAGTAAAATGTACAATATTTATTATACTAAAATCCTTACAAGAAATTGTAAGCCAGGTGTATTTGCAATTATCAATACAAGTAAAAACAAAAAACAAACAAAAAACTTGAAAACAATAAAGATAAGGCTACATTTATCAGATAAAATGAAAAACTAGTCAAGCAGGGAAACCCTGATGACAAAAGAAAAGGAATATTGTTACAGAATTATAAAAACAATATTCAAACAATGACAGAAAGCTATAAATGAAGTTAGCACTTTCACCTCAAATAACTACATTGAAGACCTTAAAATATTAACATTGTGTGTATGTTTGTGGGGGGAATACTTAGCAATTTAAGGGTAAGGTAATAATTCCCATTTCCACTGAATTTGCTATTCTTGTTTTCATCACTACAAAGCTACCTGCTACAGTCATTAATTTTGAACTGCTGCCTAGAGGGAAACACCAGCTGCCAACTTTCTGGCTACTTAATTATTAAATGTACTGTTTTTTACATTGTGCTATGCTGGTAGGAGGGGGTCCAGATCCCCATCCACTTTTGTTCTAGATATTAATAACTATTATTTAATATTGTATAAGCAGGCACAGTTTCAGTATAAGGGTCCAAGAGGGTAAACACCCACAATTTTTTTTAGAAATTAATAACTACATTATTTAATGTATAATCAGGAACAGACATAGGGGAGGGGTCAAACCCCCTTTCCCTTCTTCCACCTATATGTGTGTGTGTGGGGGGGGGGCAAAACTTGTCAAATTTTTTCAGAAATTAATACAAAAAATAGCCAATAGCATCAAAGTTTTAGTTAGCATTTTCCTAATCTGAAAATGTATTTGTGATAGCTACGAACAGAAATGCTATTTCCTTCGCACATCTGCCTATGAGATTTGTATGCCACTAGCCTTGACCTAACTTCCACCTAAATTCACATGTTTTCTGTGAACTGTGCTGGTGCATTATGATGTCATCATGCAACAATAGCCCTTCACTAATCGGAGGGTGATACAATTTCCATGCTCTGTAACCAAAGACGGTGGGTTGATTGAAGTATGGTGACTGATGGAAGTCAAAAATGTGTGGGACAAGAAACAGGCAGATGGTGAAGAGAAGGAGCAATGAATGTGTGGAGAGTCATACACATGCCTGCCTGGGATTCTTATCCAAGGGCCGGCAAAAAGGGAGAAGCAAAGGAATGAGTAGGTGATGATACTGGATATGAAGAAATGCAAAATAACCTGTTAGAATAAACACCCAGGGAAGAATAAACTAACCAGAGGAGTTGACAGACCTATCCACTAAGAACAAAGAGGTCCCTGGAAGAAGTTGGGTCCCAGAGTAGGACCATATGATGGCAGGAACCCCTAAAAGGCGATATCCATGATATGTAACAATGATCATCCAAAAGAGGAAACAGGAGTAGATATGGCCTGAACATAATAAAGTGAAATGGAAGAGAGACAGGAGAGAAAGGATGGTTATCCTCCCAAGTGGCAGAAAGCTGAGGAAAAGAAGAATGATCCAGGTAGAGGAGTATATAAGTGAAGTAAAAGAGGGTGTGAGAAGCATCGATAGCATAAACATGTGAACAATGGCAACTACAAGTGAGGAGGAGGAAATGAGACATGAGAGAAAAGATGTACAAAGAGCAAAAAGCCAATGGTTCAAACGATGAACATGTAAGAGCATGCAAAACCACATTAAGGATCTAGTCAGGCATAGGGGTCCATGAAGAAGGAAAAGGCAGAATAGAGTGGAAAGGATGATGGAATAAAACACCCTGTGATATTGGGAAAGGTGAAATGTAGTGGAAAATGTCCTCTGATAACCAACAATGGAAGAGATCAACAAACCATGGTTGAACAGCTTATTAAAAAAGGCACAAAGGTGGTTCACAGTAGGACTGCCAGGAGGAAAGGAGTGGCACATAGATCAATGACAAAAAACTGCCATTTTCATATATAAGCAATTTCAAAAGGTGAAGGGAATGTGACAAGAAGAAGGCTACATGATAGAAAATTCTGGCCTGATGGGTGATGGATGGGACAAGTCCCACACATCAAAAAAGAGGGACAGCATATCTTGATGAAAAAGGAACATGTGAGGGTGATACAAGTGTAAGGGGACCAATGGGTATATGAAGGAGGGGTCTGGACACCAAGCAAAGAAGCAGTAAAAATTAAGAGTAAACTGGCCAAAGAACTGCCACAATAGGACTTGAGAAAGAGTGTAAACTTTCAAGGTGAGAACCCAAAAGAGGAGATGAAGAGGAGGATAGGCATATAGAAAAAGGTAAGACTAGTCCTGGCTGAGAGTTTCAACAGCTAGAGGTGAAGGATGAGGAATGGCACCAGAAAGGAGGAAGACAGGAGTCTAGAAGGATGGCAAAGGCATCTATGAGAGGTGTGTCCTACCAAGAGCAAACCCAATGAAAGACCAGGGATGGAGAGAACACTTCTTTGTAGAACACTGTCTGGGTGAGAGGGGCAGTCCACCATGAGGTATATGACAGGCAACAAAATAAATGCCACATGAATGAGCAGAGAAAAGTACATCCAATGCCAGAAAGCAAAGCGGGTGCCATCTTGATTGCTGACGTAAAAAACAATTGTGGAAATGTCAAAGTGAATATTAGATATACAAGACTGTTTCAGTTTAAGCTTAATATGAACATTACTATTTAGATAGTTTATACAGCATGAGTGTCACATTTAGTTGTTTTCAGAAGTGATATTTTATGGTATGTTTGTTTATGTAACTGTTTATGAATCATATGTTATGTAGTTCACTTGTTATGAATTAGCAATTGTTTACAATAGTGATATTATTGTGTCTTGTTTCTAGAACTTTCTGGGTTTCTCATTGGTTCAACTGAATATTATTGCATCAGAATATCTAGTATTGCATGGAAGGTTCTACACTTCTTTTGGGGTGATAAATAGGTGTTGAAAAATCAATATTAGGTTCTAGTTCTAGACTGTGTGATCATGAGTTTAGTGATAAAGAGTGTATAATGGCAACTTTTAAAGTGAAATTCCTACAGACTGTATAGTAATAATAGAGTAGAGAAGAATAATTCATCTTGTCAATTGTGTTCTAAAGTAACTGAACCAGCCTGTGTGGACTTTGATGAAAAAGAGAATTATTTAAAGCTCTAGATACAACTGTGGTAATCAATGTAATGAACATTTGTATACATGTTCCATTTGTTTTTAAAACAAGGGGACTGTGTTACTGTTTGTTCATAGTTGAAATTTATTGTTAACAAGTCACAGGCTCCTATTGTAAAGAATTCAGGATTTGTTGGATCATCATTGAATGATCCACCAAAAGGAATATGCTCTATGAACAGCAAGAAGTTTGAGCACGTTGATATGCACTAAATGCTTATCCTGCATCCAAATGCCAAAAGTCATGTTGTCATCCGCAGATGTACCTTAACCCAAGAGGGAAGCATTGGTGAAGAGATAGATCTAGCTTGGGAGTTGATAAGAAAATGCCAGAAATAGTATTAGCATGGTCCAGCCACAATGATAATTCTTCAAGAACAGGAGAGGGAAGGTTCAAAATCTAGGACAATGGAATCCCTTGGATCAGCAAGATCCATTAGAGGAGGTGCATGTATGTATGCCCCAAAGGAATGAGGGGTTTTAGGGAAGCCAGATTCCACAAAAGCAAAAGAACTCCTTGTGCAGGATGAGAATGAGAAGTGCTAATACTGGTGCCCAGATACTCCATAGCTTGCAAGCAAAGAGAAGAAGGCTGAGCTTGGCTGAAACAACAGATCATGAAAATGCCCAAATGTACCAATCACTGAGTGGGCATGAGAAAGGACTTGGAAATCTTGACAAGACACCCCAAATGAGTAGCCTCTTGCAAAAGAAGGGAGGTATGAGAAGATACCACCCATAAATGGACCAAATGAAGTCAATAATCCAAAAAAACGAATGACAGCAACTGGCCATGAAGATGGTGAGTGAAGGCTCCCATGATACAAATGAATACAAAAGGGGCTGACTCAATGTCGAAGGGAAGTGCAAGGAATTGGAAGATACAAATAGGATAGATGGAACATAGAAAACATCTAGTGGATGAGCAATAGGGAGGAGTAGGAAAGTGTTCAACACATTAATTATGGTCAACTGCAGACCAGATAAAAAATGCCATAGATGGGGTCAGAGGGAGGAGAAAAGAAAACAGGAAGAGGAGCAAAGGGAAGT